GATGCCGTAACGCCTGCAATGCCTGTTCGCCGAGCTCCTTGAAGAGGGGAAGCTTCCCGACCGATTTTTAGCTTGCGACGCTCCCGAAGAACACCTGGAAGTTCATCGTGACATTGACGTGCCGCCTCGGAGACCCTCTCCATGAAATCAGCGGCAGCCTGTTTGTCCACAGTGGACCAAGCCGCCAGCCCAGCAAGGCTGCCTAGGAGAAGAGCGGACCTCTCCCTCGCTGAGATAAGAATGCCAGTCGGGTCAGCCCCGGCGAACCTAGCGAGCCCGAGACGTTTCCAAGGCTCAGTCGTGCTGGTATCGTAGGTCAGCTTGGAGTACAGAGCCCGAAGACCGGGGAGACGTAAGACCCGGGTACGGGGGACTCGGAAATCCCCGACGAGGTCGTCAAAAAAATGACGAGGCCGAGCCTGCATTTTGACGAGGCCTCCCGCTGCAAACATCCCACAAAACTCCTCCTCGTCAAAATCCGAGTCGCGGTGGTCAAAAAACGATGGCGAACCCGAGTCCCGGCAAACCCGGGTCTTACGCTCCCCCGAGAAGAGCGTGCCAGTCTGGAGGGCATTCCACCGTCAAGATGCACCCAAAAGGTGTTCGCGAGAACCCAAACGGCCTCTCCGACGGCCCATGGATCTCCCCTGAGGCCTTACAGACGGCCTCACAAATGCCTCCAGGAGTCCCCCGAGACGGCCTCCAGGGATACCAAACGACTGCGAAGACAACCTAAGAGGCCTCTGGCACGTCAGGGGCAACAACACATTCCATCGAGGACCCCGATCGGCTGGCAAGGCACCCTCTCGAGAATGCCGCGCTTCTTCCCTTCTGGCGTGATTCTTTCGCCCGCTCCACCCAATCGTCGACCACGCGCTCTCCCCATACTCGATCCCACCTTGCCAAATCGTACCACACGCAACTGCACCATTTGTCACAACATCACGCCACACCAGACGTGAGCACTCAAGGGGAGACTGAACCGAACACGAAAAAAGCGTTAACCTTGCCATCGATCGGGCGCCCATTCCCCTTCCATCTCGCGGCTTCGCGCGCTTATTTTTCCCCAAGACGGCCCAGGATGCTCCTCGATGGCCCTCGCCGGAAAAATGCACACGCCCGAGCGATTCGGGGGCGTCAAAGAGGGAGGCGTCCAAGAGGAGGGGACGCCACTCATGGCCGGCGGTACGTGTGCGGCCCAGGGGGGGGGGCCGGGGACTTACTGAAACAAGAAGGGGCGCCCTGAAATCTGGGGCGATGTCATGGCCCCCGCCACGAGATCCCGCCCCCTAGTCCCCTGACCTTCCAGACTGCTGAAACATAGCCCCCCAGACCTGTAGGCCTGCCTGGACTGCCTAACACCTCGACAGAGATCTGAATGTCTCCTGGTGCTCTTCTCGGCACTCCTGGAAGGTCAGCGTCGTCACCCCTCTGCAGCTGCCCCGGAGCGATGCCCACCATCATCATCATCATCATCATCATCATCATCATCATCATCATCATCATCTTCATCATCATCATCATCATCATCATCATCATCATCATCATCTTCATCATCACCACCACCATCATCATCATCATCATCATCAGCATCATCATATCATCATCATCCTCCTCCTCATCATCATCGTCATCATCGTCATCATCGTCATCATCGTCATCATGATCATGATCATGATCATGATCATGATCGTCATCATCATCATCATCATCATCATCATCATCATCATCATCATCATCATCATCATCATCATCCATCACCATCATCCATCACCATCATCATCATCATCATCCATCACCATCATCCATCACCATCATCATCATCATCATCATCATCATCATCATCATCATCATCATCATCATCATCATCATCATCCCTCCCTCCTCCCTCCTCCCCCTCCCTCCTCCCTCCTCCCTCCTCCCTCCTCCTCCTCCTCCTCCCTCCTCCTCCCTCCTCCCCCCCCTCCTCCCCCCTCCTCCTCCCTCCTCCTCCCTCCTCCCTCCCTCCCTCCCCCCCTCCTCCCTCCCCCCCTCCTCCTCGCGGCCGGGAGGTGCCCCCCGCGCGGGCCACCCCCGCGCGGTGCCCGCCGGTCTGCCACCCGCGCGGGCGCGGCGGCGGCGCCGCCCCGGGCGACCGCTGGCGAGGCCCCCCCCCCGGCGCCGACTGCCGGGGCCTCGCAGGCGGGGGCCCCGCCGGGCCGAGCTCGGCTACACGCACGAGCGACCGAGGTGACGATGATGATGCTGATGCTGATGCTGATGCTGATGCTGATGATGATGAGGAGGAGGAGGAGGAGGAGGGAGGAGGAGGAGGAGGAGGAGGAGGAGGAGGAGGAGGAGGAGGAGGAGGAGGAGGAAAAGCAGCAGCAGGACCGAGGGGGGGCGGCTACGAGTGGCACGAGCGACTGTACGCTGTAGCTGGGCTATAGCGTACAGCATACGCACGGGTGGCGACGAGTGACACGCACAGCTGTGGTACGACGCGTGACGAGTGACGACGAGTGACACGACGAGTGACGCACGAGTGACGACGAGTATACGCGCTCGGCTATAGTGTCACTCGCACGAGTGACTATACGCTATAGCTCGGCTATACCTCTGGTGCGCGGCATGGGGGGGGCGCGGGGTAGCCAAGACCGAGCGCGCAAGCCGCTGGTGTCGCAGCGCGTTCGGCGATTGCGGGACCCGTCTGGGCCCGCACCAAGGGTCACTCCGGCGAAGGGTCACTCTGACGTCTAGCCGACGAGCGGGGGCCCGGGCTTCTCTCCGTGCAGCCGGCACGTGCATCGGTCGGTGGCGAGCGAAAGGGGGGGGCGCGAGAAGGAGGATTTGGAGGCCCGAATTGGGCACGGACGAAAACGGGCACAATGCCCAACGGCAAGTGTTGTCCCAAACCGACAGCGGCCGTTGTTGGGCTGGCGGCCTTCTGTCTCGAACGAGCACAGGCCGCGGCGGCGCGGACAGCGAGTCCGGTTCAAATGAACAGGAACTGCTGTTGGGCATTGTACCCATTCTTTCCGTACCCATCTCGTTCGTACAGAGAGAAGGCCTTCTCAGAAGGCTCGGAAGTCCCCCGGCCCTCTGAGAAGATCTCGAAGCACTCCCCGGAGACAAACACGGCTTCTCAGGAGGCGCGAGGGCTTCTGAGAAGTCCCGCCGCCTTCTGAGAAGGCCTCCTCCTTCTCATTTCCTCCCTCGCTCACTGCCGAAGTAAGGACGGGTGGCAAGGACGCAGGACCCTTGGAGGTCGGAGTTAGGGATTTTGTGGGGGCGGCGGGTGACCAAAGCCCCAGGGAGGCAAAGGCACCCTGACCCAGAGGGAGGCCAGCGAGAACGGCAGAGGACGGGCCGCAGAGGCAAGGGCACACGGGCACCCAGGATGAAGGCGCGCGTCCTTACTAGGCGCGTTGACTGCATGCCTCCGTTTACTATGCCCCCGTCTACGGCGCCTAGGGCCCGCCAAGAGGGGGGCACAACCAGTCGTGAACGTCGGCGCTCCCCGTGCCCCCCCCGCTTGCTGCCCCGCCTCTGGTGCTTTGAGACATCCACGGTCAGATGAAATCGGGCCGCGCGTCAGAGACGACTGAAGGGGCCCCAGGACACACAAATAAATACACACAAATGAAAAGATGCCCCATAGATGTTCCCATCTGTTCTGGGTTTTTTTTATCTTCCCGCCCCATTCCCATAGTTTCCCATATGTTCGGGGGAATAAACGACTACACCCTACGAAATGCTTAAGAAATCATGGGTTAAGAAATTCATGGTCTCAGAACTTGAATAAAAAACCCAACATTTCTATCAAAATCTTGGGATTTACATTGAAACATGAAGAATAATCGAGACTCTGGCCGAAAATTTAAGTTTTCTTAAGCATCGCCTAAGGTGTACTTGTGCCTTTGTGTGTTTTCCCCCCTCCTGAAAGACCAGCATCATCGGACCGCGGCACGTGGCACTACTAGGAGGAGGAGGCGCAGGAGGAGGAGGAGGAGGAGGAGGAGGAGGAGGAGAGGGAGGAGGAGGAGGAGGAGGACGACGAGGAGGAGGAGAAGGAGGATGAGGAGGAGGAGAAGGAGAAGGAGAAGGAGAAGGAGAAGGAGGAGGAGGAGGAGGAAGAACAACGGCACAAACAGTGCCACCAGGGGGGCCCGGTGCCGATCCGAGACATCGCGGAAGCCTGAAACTACCGGCCTCGAGCGTGTCCCTATCCCTAAGACTGACACGCCAAGAGGCGATGACAATCTCAGGGACTCGCCCTCAAAAGAGAAGGGAACCCCTAAGATTGGCATCGTGACGAGGAGGTGCCCAGCATAGGGATAGGGATCTGTTCCAGGCTGGTAATGAAAGTCCATGCTCATGCCGTTTTCCCCTCCTCGAGCATCTCCTGCTCTGGGCCCCCCTGGCGGCGCCTCCAGCGCCGCCCCTGGCGCGCTCTGCGCGCCAGGGAGGGGGGCCCAGCGCGGATCCAACAGGTCCGCGCGGAGCGCCAAAAAGTTGATGCTTAGAACGTTTTCTTCTTCGAACTACGCCCGAACATACCAGATTCGACCGCCCGCGCCCGGACCTGCTGGTGCGACGCCCGCCGTGGCGACCGAGCCCGAGACCCCGCAAGGACATGGCTAGGCACGGGGCTGGTGGGGACACGCGAACCGGTTAGAACTGCAGTCGAGTGATTGGAGAGGACTTGTGGCTGTTTTCGAAAACCCTGAACCCAAAAACCGTTTCATCTCTTGAGGCGCATGTTTCACTTCCGCAACCTTCCGCCGCCCTTCCGCCGGCTTCCGCCGGCGGAAGCGGCCTCGGTTTACTTCCGCCGACTTTCCGCTGCCCTTCCGCCGCGGAAGAGAGGCCCTTTTTGGAACGCGGGGCAGCTCGCCATGCGCATGTAGAAGGTATTGGCCGCGAAACACAGGACAGCAGGTACCCTTGACTTGGCAGGGTCGACCCACTAATCAAACTCGACTGTATCTTCGCTGCATTTCCGATGCCCAGACGCGTGCCAGCATACTCGAAGCCCTGCCAGTCGTTCAGCGACATGGCGTTGAGTAACTTGCTGAGCGCTTCAACCTCGTGCGTCTTGCCTCCTGCCAGAGCGCTGGGGATCCATGTGTGTGGCAGACGCCGTTCGGCGAGAATGTAGGCGGGGCAGGGGATTACGCAGTAGAGAGGGGAGGAGGGCCAAGGACGAGGGTCGAGGAGAGGAAAGGGGGGAAGGATGGGGGAAAGATGATGTCGCGGAGGGGGGATGTGTGAGTTCAGAAGAAGCGTCAGGAGAATCAGCAGCATCAGTAGCAACAAGAAAGAGACAGGGGCAGATGTGATGGGGGCAAACCTGGCTGTAAACAACCACGCCTCATGCCCAACGATCGCTCTGGTGGTAGGCTCCGCGCAAAATGGCTGGAAGCTCAGCAACCAAGCAACCAATGGTCATGGACTCGAAACTGCCTCGACCACGAACAGCCACAGCCAGGAACAACCACAAACCATGGACTCCGAAATGATTTACACACCACTTTCCGCGGTTGGAAGAGCGACGAACTGCATAAACAACTCCGCGCGGGTTCTGTGGATCTGCGAAGGTCCAGGGCGGCGCCAGAGGCGCCGCCAGGGAGGTTCAGCTCCGATCCAAGGATTCTTCGCGGAAATTCGAAAGTCTATGTTCATGCCGATTATTCATTCTCGAACTTCTGAAGCCCATGCCCAGCAAGTCACTGGACACGACCTGCACAGCTTTACTACTCACCCTCCAGATTGTTCTGATCCTCCTGTGCTGTTGGGTCCTCGCTGTCTCTCTCTCTCTCTCTCTCTCTTTCTCTCTCTCTTTTTCTCTCTCTCTCTCTCTCTCTCTCCGACTGCCATTCAGGCCCGCCTCTACCCCCCGCACCTCTTGCCGCCCTGTCGTCGTCCCGCTGCTGCTGCTGCGCTGCCTGCTGCACGCTGCCGCTGACTGCCGCTGCGACTATTTTTGGTAGGTGGCGAATTTTCAGAACATGAGCTTTTGGCGATCCGCGCGGCCTTCTTGCATCTTCGCTGGGTCTCCCTTGCCGCGCTTTCGGCGCCGCCCCTCGTCTGACAGTTGTTGTGTGTACGCCAATGTTTCTTCTTCGATTTCGCTGCGCTGCCAACCTCGATGCTGCTGCTGCTGTCCGCGCTGCCCGCTTCGGCACACCCCTAGCACGGATCATGCCTCATAGAGAGCTCCACCTGGAGCCTGTGCCACCTCGCCGGTTTCGGCGCACCCCTCGCACGGATCGTGCATCATGGGGAGCCCAACCCACTGCATGTGGCCCGTCCGTGGAGGCGTGTAGAAGCGGATTTAGCTGGCGCCACAATGGGCCGTCTAGGGCTTGTATTGGCTACGTTGGCGGTCTCATGGCTCCGTTTTGATGTCGCCATTGCGACTTCGACCCAGCTTGAAGCGGACATCCCCCCCCCCCTCAGGGCTCCGAAAACGAACCCCGCCTCGCCCGCTTCGGCACCCCCCTCACGCAGATCCTGCCTGGTAGAGAACTCCCTGCAACCTGTGCGCACAACGCCCTGCCCTCGGGGCACACATGTTTTTCCGCCGGCGGCGAGGCAGAGGCGGTCCGCTCCAGCGTGTGGCTATTCGGGGCAACCGAACAACTCTTGGCCCGCAGGCAAGAGGGGGGGGAGAATGACGAGAACGGCCGCGCGGGGGGAGGGGGAAGGGAAAGCGCTCAGACGTGAAGAGCTCCGCGTCGAGCGGGCCGCTGCGGCCGACCGAGGCAGCGGTGCCCGTGGCAGCAGCAGGGGCCGCGGGGAGGGCGCACCCACGGGCGCCGTGGCGATGCCGAGCCAAACAAAAAAAAACACGCCGCCGACCACGGATCGCGCCAGCGGGCGCCTCCCAGGCCGCTTCGGCGCGCCCCTCGCACGGAGCGCTCCCGACGAGGGGCGCGCCCGCACGCTGCCTTCGCGCACCAAGGCCCCAACGACGCGCCCCTCGCACGGATCGCTCCCCGCGGGGAGCACCCGCTGCGGCCCAAGTGGGCGCGCCCGCACTCTGCCGTCATGCCGCCAAGACCCCAGTGACGCGGTGCGCGACGCCAGCGCTGGAGATGCGACGAGGGACTCGGCAGGCGGCCCTGCCGCGGGACCGCCATCGCCACCTCCCCCCAGGTGGAACGAAGACGCCAGCGCGGACGGAGGGGGAGAAGAGGAAGGAGGAACAACTCACTTCGTACCCTGCACAAGCGCGCCGACCATTTGTAGTTTTTTGTTGGTTTGTTTTATGTATTTTATGTGTTTGTTTGTTCTTTTTTTTTCTTTTCTTTTTTTATAAAAAAAAACGCCGATCAACCTGCAGTAGGCAATCCAGAAGCAAGAGGCGAGCCCCGAAGCGGGCGCGCCCACGCGGACCCCCGCCCCGCTCGCTGCGGCGCAGCCCCCCTCAGGGAACTCCGACTGCTGCCCGCCCGCCAGGGCGCACGATCCAAGGAGAGGATCACCCCCGCGCTGCGCGCTCTGCCGACTGCCCCCGCGCACACCGCGTGCAGCACCATGCAAACAGCTCAACAATCTACCTCTGCCCCCCCCTCCTTCCCGGCACGCCGCTCTGCGGTGGACCGCGTGCAATCATGTGTGGGTGCCACCTCCGGCAGGGTTGATCCCCTATGGGCGGATCCCAATCCCCAGGCTGACTACCTACCAGACCACCCCAACCCAACCCGAGAACCCGAATTTCGGGTTGGGGGGGGTATGGGCTCCATATGTGTTTTTTCGATGTTCCCGGACCCCCCCCACTAGAAATCGAGGGTAAATCTGAGCCTTCGGGTTGGGTTGGGGTGGTTTGGTGGGTGGTGACAGGCCGCGTGACTTGGGCTGACCGCGCGCATCGCGCTGCCCGACCTTCTACGCCTCGACGCTGCGCGCAAAGGCCGCGACGCCAAACAGTGTGTGTGCCCTCTCCCGCTCCCGCTCCCGCTCCTCTCGGCGGCGAGCCCAGGGTGAAAGCAAGAAGGGGCGGGCCTTCGTAGAAAGCTCAGAACTCCCCTGGCCTTCTGGGCAACTGTCTGAGCCTTCCCGGAAGACGCAGAACACCGCTCAGAAGGCCAGAGGCCTTCTGAGAAGCCCCGCCCGCTTCTGAAAAGGCCTTCTGCTTCTCACTTCCCTTCCTCCCCCCCTCGCTCGCTCCCGCTGCCTGGTGCGCTGAAAACTGCGGGAAAGCTGACATTGCCACGAACCCCGACCTTGGAGGAGAAGTGCGTGACTTGCGAGGACGAGAGAAGCAACACAGAGGATGCCTGTAGGGCGCATCATGCTGATGCCCGTGTTGTCCGTTTGACGCTGTGCTGCTTTCAGGCGCATTATGTTGGTTCCCGTGTTGTCCGTTTGATGCTGTGCCACTTTGTCGAGGCGCCTCCGGCCATCTTGGAGCCCTGTTGGGCAGACTTCAGGCCCTGGGGCGTCTCCGACCTTCTCGGGGCCCTCTTAGGCAGTCTTGGGACGGGAGAAAAGCATCGGGGCCCATCTCCATCGGAGCTCGCTTCCTTCGCGGCCGCGCCGCGCGGCCCGCCCCATGGATGCAAGGACCAGGGGGACGACAAAGGTTAGATCGGGCGCGTCCTCCTACAGGCAAATGTTGGACGAGAAATAAAACAATAGCCAATCTTCAAGAATAGCCAGAAATAGTCGAACCTCGTCTCCAGACAATCTTTGCTTATATACCTCTGAGTGTTCCTCCTGCAGAGGGACGCGCCTGACTCAACATTGAGGGCAGGGGGGAGGAAAGGGGGAGGGGGCGTGCAGAGAAGGCGTCCTTTCTTCGCCACCTTCTGATGCATCATCAGCTTGGCCTCGGGCCGGGCGGGGGCACGGCGAGGTCGGCGGCGGCAAGCGGGCACGCCGAGGGGAGCACCTGGCCGCGTCCGCGCTTCAGGGCCCGGGTGCAGGGCCAGGCTCCGCGATGTCGCTCTCGACGGCGGCGGTCGGGAAACAAGACGAAACAGGGGACCCACGAAGTCACAAGCGATTGGCGGGAAGCGCAGGCAAAGGAGCCCAGACAGAAGGAACGCTTGGGCACACCAAGAACAGCAGATCGTCGTCGATAGCTCTACTCCTCCTCCTCCTCCTCCTGCTCCTCCCTGCGCCTCCGAAGCCCCTAGAACAGTCCTCTGGGCGCTGGTGGTCGCAAGGCCCTTTCCCCTCCTCCTGCTCCTCCCCATCGTTCCATCTCCCTCCATCCTCATCTCTCTTCTTCCTCCATCTCCATCATCATCCCTCCCTCCATATATTCCTCCTCGTCCCTCATCATATTATATATATATATAGATTATCTTTCTCTCTCTCCTCATTCCTCCTCCGCCTCCTCATCATCTTACTGATCTCTCCTCCTCCCTCCCTTCTCCGCCCCCTAGCTCCTCCTCCTCCTCCTCCTCCTCCTCGTCCTCCTCCTCCTCCTCCCGCGGAATCCATGCCACTTCGCACCCGAGCGTCTCCGGCGCCCCCGCACAAGGCGCGCCAGGGTGTTTTTTGATGCGTGCAGTCTTCGAACCGGTACTGCGTGCGAGAGACGGCCCAAAGAAGCCCGGCACCCAGCGTCGTCGGCTGCAGTGCCGAGGCCGGGCGAGCGTGCGCGCGCGCAACCGCTGCCAGCAGGGCCTTCCCCGCCCTCCCCCCCCCGCCCCTCTCCTCTCCCCCATTCCTCTCCCCCCCGCACTTCCTCCTCTCCCCCCTTCCTCCCCCTCCTTCCCCTCCTCGCCTCTCCTCCTCCCCCCCTCCTCCCTCCTCCCCCGAATTCCTCCTCCCCGTCCTTCCTCCTACTTCGCCACTCCTCCTCCCCCCTTCTTTCTCCTCCCTCATTCCTCCTCCTCCTCCTCCTGGCGCGTACCTGACCAGGAGGAGGAGGAGGAGGAATGAGGGAGGAGAAAGAAGGGGGGAGGAGGAATGGCGAGTAGGAGGAATGACGGGGAGGAGGAATCCTCCTCCTCCTCCTCCTCCTCCTCCTCCTCCTCCTCCTCCTCCTCCTCCTCCTCAGTGGCGACCCCCGACGCGGCGCTTCTGCCAGAGGGCAGCGCACGGCTCCCCCACCGTGGCGGCGGCCTCCACGTGCTCTCCGCGGGCGGGGGCCGCGCTCCCTCCGCGCAGAGAGAGAGAGAGAGACCCGCCGCCTCGGCCACCTCGGCATCGCTCGGGCGTGTGCGCATGTTTCCCTTCGGCGAAAAAAAACCACGCACGAAACCGAAACAAAAACACAGAATGGACGTCCGAGCGATGGCGAGGCCTCGTTCCTCATGTAGGGTTCCTTGTGACAGCGCTTCGACTGTAACGTACCTCTACCCCGTGGCAGGGGCCATGCTGGGCTCCAGGGCAGCGTGTGCAGGCCCTCCTGCCTTCAGGGCGAGGACCATCGAGGCGCACCCTTTGATCTCATTTGGCGGAGCAGCCACGCGCGACACCGAACAAAAAAAACAGGGAAGGGACGCCCGAGCGATGGCCAGTCCGTGATGTAATGTGATGTGATGGGGGGGCGATAAAGAGGGGGAGGAGGAGGAGGAGGAGGAGGAGGAGGAGGAGGAGGAGGAGGAGGAGGAGGAGGAGGAGGAGGAGGAGGAGGAGGAGTGCTCGGGCTCTCGCCCTGCGGCGCCCGCCGCGCGCCCCGCGGAGGCCGCAGGTCTGCAGAGGACAGCGCCGGCACGCGCGGAGGACACCAAGGCCGGGAGAGCCGGGGCCGAAACGCCCCGGCGAAGGCTCGTCCCAATCGCCTGGAGCTCGCCATCGCTCGGACGTCCATTCCCTGTGCTTTTGTTCGGTTTCGTGCGTGGGTTTCTTCGCCGGATGATCCACGATGCTCCTCGATGGTCCTCGCCGAAGGGAAATTGCACACGTCCGAGCGATGCCAGGAAAGGGCTGGTCCTGAACCCGAGCGGCTACAGCATGGAAAAGGGTGAGGGCACTCGGGCGTGACAGGACACGCCAGCGTGGTGGGCCGATGAATCTTTCTCGGGGAGGAGAGGGATACGCGCCTCGGAAGTTGGATTGGCGATGAGGTCTACGCCCTCGCGAGGGCAGAAAGGAGCAGCTCCCCGCCGGGGCCTTGTAGCGCAACAGGTAGTCCACAAGCACGCCTCGGGGACGCCGCCCTTTTTCTGTAAGGACGGGGAGGAGGAAGAGGAGGAGGAAAGGAAGAGGAGGAGGAGAAAAAGGAGGAGGAGGAGGAAAGGAAGAGGAGGAGGAACAGGAGGAGGAGGAGGAGGAGAAGGTAGAGGGAACAAATTCGACAAAGCAGGTGAGGACGTGGAGGAGGAGAATGAGGCGGAGGGGAGTGGCAGGAAGAGGAGGCGAAGAAAGTAGACGACAAACACGCCTCCGGGGTGCCGCTCCTTTTCTGTAGGGAAGAAGAAGAAGCGAGGAGGAAGAAGAGAAGGGCCGGGGACGCGGAGGAGGAAACGGTCAGGGGGGCGGCAGGAGACGGCGGAGAACGTGCATGAGGACTGACGGCCCCCTGCAGACATGATCGCACGGGCTGTGTGAGCAGGCCCACCTCTGTGCGCCGAACGGTACGGCATGGTCGTACAGCTTCGCGCGGCGTCGTGGAACCCGCTCGTCCGGCGTCCAGCACTTCGCCGTCTCAACAAAGGAAACGAGCCACGTTCCATGCAGGGACAGAACACGGGTTGCAGCGCACGTCACAGAAGCATTCCTCCTCGAATGATTCACCTCGATCCCATTCGTCTCTCACCTCTTCTCGGCGGCAAGCCCAGGAGGGAAGTGAGAAAGGGCGGGCCTTCTCAGAGGCTCGGAAGGCACCGGGCCTACTGAGAAGTCTCCTAAGCCTTCCCCGAAAACCCAGAAAACTTGTCCGAAGGGCGAGGTCTTCTGAGAAGCCCCGCCGCCTTCTGAGAAGGCCTTCTTCTTCATAGTGTCCACCCTCGCTCGCCGCCGATCTTCAGCCCTGGAGACCCCCAAAGGTACCCACACCACCAATCCTCGGACCTCTCCCGGGGTGCGTTCTGACCCGGACTTCCAGGCGAATCCAGCGGTGGCGACGAGGGCCTGCCAGGAGGCCCAGAAAGAGGAAACGACGGAAGGGTAGCGGCATGAGCACCTTATCGATCCAATTCGTATCCACCTCGATCTTCGTCTGCACCTATTCACTTGGAGGCCTCCTAAATGGGGTCGGAGTAAAACGGGTCAGAAGATCGCGCCAAGTCGCCGATGCATCGCCGATGCATCGTCGATAAACTGGCGACGTCGGCGACGCATCGGCGACGTCGGCGTGGAGGACATCGGGCTCCGCGTCGAGCCGCATCGTCGATGCATCGGCGATGCGGCGCGATCCTCCGACACCATCTGCTCGGACCCCATCTTGGAGGCCTGGATCACCTCGATCCCCATCTCCACCTCCGCCCACCTCCGTCCACCTCAGTCCCGCTCGCCCTCCTGGCCATCGCTCGGACGTCCATTCCCTGTGCTTCTGTTCGGTTTCGTGCGCGGTTTTTTCGCCAAATAATCAAAGGATGCTCCTCGGTGGTCCTCGCCGGAGGAAAAATGCACACGCCCGAGCGGTGCCAGGCCTCCTCAGCCCGCCGTGCAGGCGACGCCCCTCTCTTGTGAGGGCGGGAAGGGGGGGGGGGGGGGCTGCGCCCTGAAGGCAGGAGGGCCTGCACACGCTGCCCTCCTCCTCCCCCATCCTCCTCCTCCTCCTCCTCCTCCTCCTCCTCCTCCTCCTCCTCCTCCTCCTCCTCCTCCTCCTCCCCCTCTTTGTCGCCCCCGCCAAATGAGATCAAAGGATGCGCCTCGATGGTCCTCGCCCTGAAGGCAGGAGGGCCTGCACACGCTGCCCTGGAGCCCAGCATGGCCCCTGCCACGGGGTAGAGGTACGTGACAGTCGAAGCGCTGTCACAAGGAACCCTACATGAGGAACGAGGCCTCGCCATCGCTCGGACGTCCATTCTCTGTGTGCTTTTGTTTCGGTTTCGTGCGTGGCTTTTTCGCCAAATAATCAAGGATGCTCCTCGATGGTCCTCGCCGAAGGAAAAATGCACACGTCCCAGCGATGCCGAGAGGCCCCTTGTGTCCAGGAGCTGAACTTCGACTTCCCGAAGGAAAAACCTGAGGACAACCCGCGACAAACGGTAAACCAATGAAAGGACACTGAGCCCCTCCCCAACGAGAAGGGTTCCTTCTTCAGCGGCCCGACTGTGTGCACGGCGAGGGCACTGAAAAGGGCCTGGGAGCCGGTGGAACTCCAGTCGCGCAAGGACCACGGACGTCACCGCCGCCCACCTCAGCTAAGGAAGTCCTCCAGGGCCTGAATCCTCCTGGTCACGCTCCTGAACCAACGCCCCCACCGTAGCTGCTCTCTGCGAGGTCGCGCGTATGCGGGTGAGGACTCAAACGCTCCCTCGCCATGGCTCGGACGTCCTTTCCCCGTGCGTTGTTCGACTTCGTGCGCGCATCTCTCTCGCTGTATGATCAACGATGCTCCTCGATGGCCCCCGCCGAACAACATGCACACGTCCGAGCAATGCCAAGAACCGCTCCAGCTTGTCGCCAGTGGTGCCAGGACCGCCAGTCCCCAGGCCGCCGCAGAGGCCGGCCGCGCCGCCCATGCTTCCCGCAACGGCACTACGACGGAACCCGGGACGAGGATAACTTCGGGGGAGCATACCTCCAGAATCTCTGAGAGAACCGGCGGCGCCGGAGAATGCCTCGGGCGCCGCGGCCTTCTCGGAGCGTCCCAGAGCGCTCCGAGAGCGCTCCGGAGCGCTCTGGAACTGATTTATCCTCGTCGTTGCCCCGTCCGAATGGTTCCGCACTGGCACGGTGGCCCTTGTTCGCGTCACTGTCTGCACGCCAGAACTTTGCCACCAAAGTCAGAGCCAGAGCCACGATGACAACGCGCCGCCTGGGCCCCGCCGATCCGCAGTCCAAACGGCGAGCACAGATCGAGCGTAGCACCGCAGGAGCTGCGAGGGATGGCTCGTTTGAGCTGTCTGCCTGGGTGCGCCAAAGGTTGTGCCGCACATTGCGCTGGAAATTGTGCCATGGCCTGCGCCGCTGTTAGCACTGGCAGAAGCCGCGCCTCGGGATGTGCCCTCGGCCGCCAAAGCAAAATGGCATGCTGACGGGTGCGAATGAACAGCCAGCCAGCGAGTCAGACAAACAATGTCTTGGCCAGCATGGACCCCAAACAGTCTCTAGGAATATAGGCTGTGCACCCCATGTGATGCCTTTCATGTTGTGCAAATTATGCGGTGGAGTCGACGGTGTATACTCTATGTTGTGCAGTATGTGTAATGACATGTGTGTTATGCAGTCCGCCGACCCCTGCTTGCCAGGGGTGCAAAGGCGCGCGAGATGATTGGCTGTCCCCCTCACCCTGAAATCTGATCAGAGGGGGAGGGTCTCCAAGCTTACCAACGCTCCCCGGGGGCCTCGGGAGTCTCCATTTCTATACTGTACCCTGTGGCCTTCGAGAGGCCGAAGAATCGATCTACGCTTGCTCAAGCAGGGTTCCAACACTCACAAAAATCCTCGGAGACTGCCGTGATAGCCTGAAGATTGCCCAAAACGCCTCAAGGACGCCCCAAGAGGAATCCAAGACGACCCCCAAGATTGCCCCAAAAAACAAGAATCGTCGTCACGTTCGCCCAAGACGGCTCAAGAGGCCCCCATGATCGCTCCAAGACGGCTCAAGAACCCCCCAAGAGGACCCCAAAACGGCAGAAAAAGGGACCCAAGACGGCTCAGGAGGCGCCCAATATGGCCCAAGAGAGCCCCAGCATGGCCCCAAGAGGGGCCCAAGAGATGCAAGTCAAACTGACATCTCGAGCCCTCCACCCCAAAAGGACCCCCGATGCCGCCAGGTGTCCAAGAAACTCCCAAGAGGCCCGAAGAGGGCACCAAGAGGCCCAAAAGAGGCTCCCAGAGGGTCCCCAAGAAGCCCCTAAAGGTTTCACTCGTTGATTTCATCACTCTTCTAGGAGTCGGCGGAATGGCGTTTACGTTGGGCACCCAAGGTGGCGCAATCGATATAATCCAGCCAGCGTGGTGCAAAATATGTGGTGCAATCACTTTCTGCTCGCAATGAGTTGTACACTCCACTGCTGGCGCAATCATCCCACCCAGTCCGAGTCGGCGACTTGGGCGGACGCGGTATCATGGTCACGTCGGCAACGTTAGACGCGATGATGGTGGTAGCGATGCTGGTGACGATGCTGACAACGACGACGGCAAGGCCAATGACGGCGCCGATGCTGATCACGCCGACGACGAGGACGGCGCCCTCGCGTCGGTGATGAAGGTTTCGGAATTAGTTCGACATGCGCGCGCGGCGCACGCGCGAGAGTGCCCGCATGGCATACGTTGACACGGATCGTGCCCCCCCAGCATGCGCGCAAAGGCGTTCGAATGTTTTCGACGTTCGGCGCGAGGGGCCCGTCTGGCAGAATGTAACGAACATAATTTTGTGAACAAAGCTATGGTTGTTTGAAAACAACAAACTTCGCAGGAAAGCAACCGCATGCATTTTTGAAAACTGATGTTGCACAACCATGTGCTTGCTAGATGTTGCAGGGCACTCGATGTTGGAATCCTTGCGATACCTGAATGTGTTCAGGATTCTGGCATGCGCGCGCGACGACGCGCGCGTGCGCACTTCGTTCCATTACTTTGCAATGTATTATTGCGGCAGCACGCGCGTAAGGGCGTTCGAGCGACTTCGACACGAGCGCGCACGAGAGGCTAAGCTGAAAGCATCTGATGATAAGGTTGAACCACCTATGGTTCGCGGGTGCAAACTTCTTATTTGAACCGTATTGGTGCAAAACCACGTGGATGTTTACATGCTTGTCGTGGCATTCAAAGTAACAGTCCTTGCGACACCGAAGGTTTTTCCAAGGACGTCGGCATGCGCGCACGACGACGCGCGCGTGTGCATCTCGTCGCATGTTTTGCACAGGGTTCTTGACAACTACTGACTTTTGATAAACGAGAGCGCGCGCATCGTATTTGTTTGCAAGTGCGATGGCGGGGGGGTGGGTTCTGGCCTGGCTGGGATGGAATGAGTTCATACATCGGATGGGCGGTGGGGCAGAACCATATGTAAATTCATTACGAAGGTG